CTCCTGGAGCCCCTGGAATGTGCTGGAAGCTCTCCCTGGATCCTTCCCTTCTCCAGGGGAACATTCCCAGATTTCCCAGCCCTGGGATTCGGGATGAGGCTGCCGAAGGAAGAGAATTCCTGGGCAGATCCCACAGCAACAGCCGGACACGGGTGAGACTTTTCCAGAGTGAATTTTAATCAGGAATTAACCCGAACCCTCCCTGAGCTTTTTACCAGGAATGAATTCCAGGTGCCCAAATTCCCACCACTGAGGAGTTCCTCCTCTTCCCAGCCCTTCCCGATGCCTGAATCCAGGGAAAATCCAGGGAAAATCCAGGGAAAATCCAGGGAAAATCCAGGGAAAATCCGGGGAAAATCCAGGGAAAATCCAGGGAAAATCCAGGATCTGGGCACCACCAAAAGCTCAGGGCCCGTCTCAAAGTGAGGGAGTTTTGGGATTTTTGGGAATCCAAGGATTTCCTCCCTGGAGACGTTTGGGAGGGGTGGGAAAAGCCAAAGGATTCATCCAGTTCTCCAGAAATCCCAAAAATTCCGTGGGCTTGGATCCCTCCTGTGGCTTGGCGTTGGAAAATGTCGATTTTGGGGTTAAAATCCCTGCTGCTCCAGGGATTTTCTCCCAACTCCCCCAGATCCAGCCGAAAATTTGGGATGGGCACCACAAAGATCTGCGGGATCTCCTGGGGAAAAGCTCCGGGAAATCCTCTGGAATTTCGGTGTTTGGGTGGATTCATTCCCAAAGCCAGAGGTGGGCCAGAATTCCAGGCTCGCTCCTCCCCATTCCAGAGGATCTGAGGGATGCAAAGCTCAGGAAAACTCCCGGGAATTTCTTCCCCTCACACCAAAGCAGGAATCCCCATCCTGGTTTCGGTGGGAATTGTCCCTTTTTTTCCCAGTTTTTCCGGGGATTTGGGATGCTGCAGCACAAACCCTGCAGGGATTTCCCTCATCCAGGGGATCCAGGAGTGAAATTCTCCAACTTCCCAAGGAATGGCTCCAATCCCACCGTGTTTTCCTGGGATAAAATTCCAATTTTGGGAAAAGCTGCCAGGATCCAGCTCTCCTCCTCCAGTCCAAATTCCAGCCAGGAAAAATCCCAAAGATTTCCATGGAAAAAGACAAATCCTCGTTCCCAGCTGGAATTTTTTAATGTTGGATCATTCCCTGCCCTGCTGGAAACCCCCAGGGAAGAGGAATGATCCCGAAATTTTCAGCTGGGTTTGGAATTTGGGAAGTTTGGGAAGAGGAGGATAAAGCAGGAATGGCCTGGTGGGATTTGGGATGGATCCAGGATTTGGGAATAAAGGGTGACGGGATCGTCCCAAAGTGACCCAAAAACCAACGAGGCCCAATCCAGGAGTTTATTCCCATTATTCCAAGGATCCAGCTGCTTCTGGCATTCCCAGATTTTGGATGGAATCCACGGGATTTGGGGAATTCCTTGTGGGCTCTCCAAGGAATCTTTTTGCTTTTCCAAGGGAAACTTGGAATTTGTAATTCCATGATTGTACCGGCGTGGGGAGGGTTGGAAAAACCACCCAGGAAGGGATTTGGGATCCTGAAAAGGGATTTGGGATCCTGAAAAGGGATTTGGGATCCTGAAAAGGGATTTGGGAACCTGAAAAGGGATTTGGGAACCTGAAAAGGGATTTGGGA